TTGCAGTCCTGCGCCGTTACTGACGATAATTAATGAAAGTCAGCTGAAGAATATGACTAAGTCAGAAACGCTACAAACTTCCAACCTTGCTCTGCTTACTTATGCATAATGAAACTGCTGATAGCGATCTTGAATATGAAAGTATTAGCAAGCTCTAACAGCTGTTTTTTTAGACTCGCACATAGATGGTAAACATTATACGAAAGGTGCCGTGTTAGCTTTTAGCACTTATTGAATTGTTATTTCGCGAGGATAAAATAACAGAACATAGGTATGACCATCCTGCTTTTTCATAATATCTCGTTTTATTGTTATATCAATCGAAAACCCTACGAATTTGTTTCGCACAGCTAGCATTTGACTATTCTTCTTTAAGACGTGTAATGTAACTATCTATTTTTCATTATTTTGAATGACCTTCTGAGGATCCCCACAGAAGTGTCTCATTTTTTTCGAAACCTTCTCTCTAGAATGTGGCAAGGATGTATTGATAGATCACACCACGGTAATAAGCATGCGATAAAAACCAATTGAACTTCTAAATTTACATCACATTCGTTAAATCCCATTTGCTTGCTGTGGATCATCAAATTTTTTTTTATAATTCTCCCTTTTCAAGGGATCACAAGTCCCTCATCCACGCATTATTCTCTTTGCACATCCTTGTTGATTTATCGTCCTACTGCTCGTAAAGTTCCCAAGGATACCTTAGAGATCATGCAAAAACCGAAAATTAAAGCTCAAATCTGCTGCACTGTCATATAAGCTTATAATGCAGAACAGATAGGGCACGCGAATGAAAGATCGGCGAAAAGCTTAGCAAGAAATTGTCAGAACCCAAATCAGCCATAACAAACATGCTATATCGTCGGACTCGTCTCAAAACGCTGATCACAAATATGTGTATTTTATCTGCCAAGCGAATATCTGGGGGGAGTTATGAGCGTTTATATTTGCGATTTGACAAGTGTACTGTGGCGCGTGTTCCACGTAATAGGTTTCAGAAACACATTTTTAAGCATCTAGTGAATGTGGTTCTTCCTTGTAAATGAAATAACCATAGGCACTGTAAATCCGCGCCATCAAGCTGCCTTTTAAGGAAATATGTTCGTCGAAAATCTAAGAATTTCTAAATTTAAAGGCTTATAACTAATTTGAGATAGTTGCTTGTCGGGTTAGAACATATATTTTAATCAGCGTTCTAACACGATTCCGATGAATACGGCTCGTTTGAATGGCTTGTCAAGTTTTGACCATTTTCTCGTTAAGTCTTAATGACACTGAGATTGAAACTTCCTTCGAAAGCTACGTGCAAAGGGTCATGACTGCAACTCGCTACAATTAAAGTTCGTTTTTTCAATTCAGCAAATGATAGAAACATCCCCTCAATTTCTTTCCAAACCATAGTAGTCTTCAAATTTGCATTTCTATGAGACAAAGAACAGCAGATTCACTTGTTAGGAATTCCTTCTTCATTGATTTCTATTTCAAAGACGTTGACTCCTCTCAAATTTCGGCATACGGAAAACCCACAATATCCAGATCTTCTAAATCCGCGCAACACATTTGATTTCGTAGGAAGATCTTCGTCCAATTCGTAATATATTTGACGCAATTTCTATAAGCCATGAATGTGCCTAGTGCCTTAATTATTACGGTAAGTTTGCAATTTGTTAATTCGTACCAGGAAATCTGTGTGTATTATTGTATTTAGATGCTAGTGAATATAGTAAGCAGCCTCAGCCTACCTCTCCAAAGAGGTAAGCACGTGCTTTGCTTTGAGAAAAAAAAAACAAAAAGCTAATACTGTCTTGGAGAGTAGCTTTCAACATTTTTCTGGTGTGCTGCCCTTCTGCACCGCTCCGTCGTGGAGCTAATTAGTCTGCCTTGGAGCCAATGGTGCATGCGCTTGCATTTTACCAGATTGGACAAGCTGTTTGCAGTGATTATCTCGTAACTTTCAAACGCTATAGCGTAGTTTTGCTATTTAAAAGTATCATTCTCTTTCGGTTGGTTGCTCAGTTGGTTCAAGTTTTTCTAAGTTATGCGTTTTTATGAGTTCTGTCACATGAAGCACGCTTTGAAAAATAGAACTTCTAGAAACCAACTTTTATTTGTCTATTATATTCAATTACAAAATGTTGGTCGGTAAATGTGGAATTATTATTTTTGTTTGTCACTGTACACTAATGCAAGATATAGCCCCTGACTTAGCTTAATTCTTTTTTCTTGAGCTGTTGATCTTTTGCATCAGCTTAGATCCAACCCCCTTTTAAAAACAAAATCTAAAAAAGTTTCGGATGCCCACTGAAAATTCTTATCTCTCGCTCAAATAAAGATTTCACGCACCTCACTAAGTCATTCGTAAACGCTCCACACCATACACATGTACTTGCTGTATTTTTTCCGCTCGAAAACGAAAATTTTCATGTTATCGTTGGTTATTACTTTTCACCTTAAAATAAAAAATGCCTAATCGTTCACTTTCCCACTTTGCACATGATAACCATATTTTCAGGGGCTTTATCGGGCACAGGTACAAATCGACCGCCGAAGAATAACCATCACCTGCGAGATCCATCTTTTATAAATGATGATGGGAATGTATTCTTATCCTTAATGTATGGTATTGTACCTTAGGTGCTTACAGTTACCATATAGTTGCTAGCGAAATTTCTCTTGTACAACCAATGAGCTTTCTTACTTGAGCATTTGTTGATTTTTAGGTGTTAATTTTTAATCGAAAAAATCTAGCGATGATTTGAATAACCTATGTTTTCCTGCATTAGATCAGACACGTGAGTCGCAACTTTGTGGTTTCAGCGATGAACATAAGAAGTTTTGCAAAAGCGCAAAAATTCTTTGTTGATTGTCCATCATACTGCTCTTGACTTTCACTTCAAGTTGGATTGTACTGCTCTTTTTTTGTTTCCGGAAATGATCTCTTTCGAATCAAATGCAAAACTTATTCATATCGTGACTGGATTAAGGTTGGATGGCCATAATTTGTCATGTCAGTCCCATTCTCGTTTGATTAATCTTACGCAGACAATATCGCACGTTTGATAATATCTACCACAAAATTTTTATCGTTGAAAATAGCAAGTAAAAATTTGTATGAATCAGAAGTCACATCGGCTTTAATGTGCACTGTCTTAAATATAGGAAAATTCCTGTTACGACGAGTACAATCCAAGGGGTAGAAGACTCATGTTGACGAAAAGGGTGAACCCGTGCGGATGTTTGCAACAGATCATTATACATTACAGCGTTTAATTTGGGCGTTGTTTTCGTGAATTTTGGAAATATACCCTAATTTCCGGGGTATAAGGCGCACCTTGTATAAGACGCACCCGCCGCAGCGAACAATGGCGCAAAAACGCTTTTCAAATGATTGCTTTCTAAATCTAAAAAGCAGAAAACTCAGTGTGCTGTGGTTGTTCTTCACTGCCCATAAATCATGCCTCCATGTATTTTCCTTTTCTCAGAATGTATACTTTCATATATTTCTACAGGTGAGAGAAACGTGCTCAAAATGGTGTTTATGGTTTTTGAAAGATTCTTTCCTTTGTTTCCAATGATGTTACCGGTGCTACGTTTGTGCTTTCCTTCGTTTCCAATAATGCTACTGATACTGAAGCTATGCTATCCTTCAAAATAATACTACTGATGTTTAAAGGTTTTTGTTTTATTCTTGTCATTCTTGAAGAATCAAAGAGAAGGTAGAGATTTGTTTGAAGCAAATCACTAGAGAGGAAGACAGCAGAGAACAGGAGCAAAAAGCTACTACTGGATAATAGAGGTTGCTGTTGGCTGCTTGTGCGGCGCCGCGCATCGCGAACGTCATCATACATCACTCCGCGCGCGGCGAAAGCTACTGCGTCTTATACCCCGGAAATTAGGTTATTTGTATTCGTTTCTCACTTTTACTTTTTTCCCAAGCCCGGCAAGTCAAATTCAAGACCTCAGAATCAATTAACTGCTTTTCAATTCTCGTGTTTTTGCTGGCCTAATTTACATATTTTCTGTTTTTCTATCTGATCGGACACCCCTCACGTTTTGTGAAGACAGGAATTCAACAACCGTAACCGTTTGAGCGCTATCTCCAAGCTATTGAGGGTTTATCTGCACGTTTGTTCCTGTTCCAGCTTACGCTATCGTCTCTTGCAACACTCAATAGAATTTGAAGAGAAATAACAGCAAGTTAGGAGTGCAACAACCATCGCAAAATCACGAAACAGAGATTGTAGACTGTGATTCTGTATATTCTCATGCGATATTCAATTTTGCAGCAAGCCGATGTTCATACAATTTTCACTTGTCTCAAGTGGTTCTGATCTCAGTTGCACTAGTGCAACTGAGATAAGAACCACTTGGGTACCCGGGTAAGTTCGTGTTTTGATATCAGTTGCCAGCAAGTTGATAAGCTATCAAATCAAATGTGTGGCACTAGAGTAACATTGAACATAAACCAATAAGGACTCACACAACATTTCTGGTTTGATCGTCAAATGTTTGAAAAAAAGAAGAAAATATTTGTAATGCTCAGACACTCGGTGCGTGCAGCGCGCGCGCAATTGCAGGGTGGCGCGACACCCAGTCTGCGGATGGCGCGCTATTGACTCCCGCGCCGCTGCATGATCGTCCGCGGATCGCTGCGATTTTGAGCGCGCGAGTCTGCGATTTCTTGCACGCGGATGGCTGCTATTTTGGCACGCGAATGGTCAGCATTTTCGCAGCTTCGTTTTAATCATTGACCCGCGCGCCAAATTTGAACGGCTAAACTTCCAGCGGACTAAACCTTTTAAATCTTTATTTCTGCAGAAAAATGACTGGACAACTTCAACAAACCTTTATTAATTATGTAATTAAAGCTTTTAAAGACACTCAATGATGAGAATGTGGATCAAATAGTGTACAATCAAATACATATGTAACAGAATGGCATCATGTACATGCAATAAACATATATAAGTCAAAAATATTGCTATCACGGAACTTCACTCACCAGCAATGGATAGATCGTCGTCGTCTCCTGTTACTGCCCCATCGTCGATCATTTCGTCCGCGACTTTCTTCGACTGGCGCTGCCATGAATCTATGAACTACTAATCAAACAGCAAACAATTTTACCTTATGCGGTATCCATTTCGACTCGCTTTCTTTGTACGTATAGGACCTACTATCTTGTCTGAAATTGATATATTAGCAACTAAGGCTGCGTTATACCCTGTAAGAATTGACTACGCACAGTGCGAATTGCAGGGCCTTGAAGAGCTGTGGACGCCACCGCATTTTCTCACGCGAAGCCTGATCAAAATTTTGCTTTCTTTCGGCTTCGTCTGTACCAAGACTAGCGTAAAATCTGCAATGAATAAAACTTGATGGAAAGACAACATGGACGAAATGATACGCTACTTACTCCGAGTTTTCAAAATCCACAACCGCGCCTGGTTGCAGTTCGTCGTACCCGTATCCCATCATATCGTCAGCAAAATCTGAACAAAAAAGTAGAAGACTTCCTTATTCGAAAAACCTCATACCGATCAAGGTGGTTTCAATCTCATCGGGGAGGTTTTTGAGTTTGGCATCCCTGCCGCTTCTTCCGTTCAGCCTCAGCGAATATTCTTGGATTCGCTGAGGGGGCTGGTGATCTAAAAAATTATATATTGCGTTTCATATAGCCATATACTACAATTACGACAGTCTGCTGTAAAAGGAAACGATACAGAGATGTGAGGATCTGGGTGTTGTTGTCCTTTCTTCTCGGATTCCACTTCCCCATCACGAGGTTTATAATATCCAACTAGCAAAAAGTCAGATAGTAGCAGAACACCGAACTATTGTAGATATATGTACCTTCACGAAAGGAGGGTTGGCGGAGATTTTCCAGGGCTTCTGACAGTTTCTCAAACATAATTGGGCCCTGCGCATCACTGAATCGTTCGTCTTTTCGGCTAGTTCATTCTGACGCGCTATCTTCATCATTTGGGCTTTCCCGATGTCGGCCTAACATGTTTTATCCTGCTTGTTTATACATCAAACTATGTTTCTGGAACTTACTAAGAGTCTCATCGCCATGAAATTGCAGCCTACTATATGTGGATCCTCAAAACCATCCAATCCATCGTAGCGCGAGACCGTTCGTGCAGCCACATTTGAGCTGACAAATTCTTGAGCAAACACTTATTGCATGATTCACTATCACCATGAAATACGTACATCGTACGCAGCGTAATTAAATGTCCCACTTTTAGTGCGATGTCCAGATATGCCTCGTTCAAGTTCTCCTCCAAACTTTCTAAAATTATATGGCATTACTTATGAAAATTGGCTTCACTTACCTCCAAAAGCCCTTATTCCAACATGATGTGGGGCCGGGAACTGCGTGCTGAATGGCATACCTCCACCTCCTCGCATAGATAAAGCACTGACTAGTAAGGGATTGTTTATAAGTTCTTAATTGACCTGGCCTACTTTCAAATGTTTGGTGCCAATACGCCTCGAGCCGAACGATAATTTTAACAGGCCTCAATCTACATTGCTAGAGGCATATACGCATTTGATGTGATAAATGACAGCATTGCAAATTTGCATGCTGATGTGAAGGCATTTGTATGATAAGAACGACTTCGTCCGTTTCGTTCCTACCCTTAGACGGACAAATGCAAAAAAGAATAAGCCTTTCCCGGAACTCGTCAGTAAGGAAGAAAAGCTAATAATAACGACAATCAACTAAAGTGAGTTCACAATAAATACATCAAATCAAGAAAGAAAATTAAAATGAAAGTCTTAGATACAAATAAAGACGAATACTCGTAAAAAATAACAGTAAAACTTCAAAAAACAGGGGCAGGGGACGAGTTCATTTTCAAAAAAGCAAATCGGCGTCCTTCTGGGTACGCGCACCGCTGCGCTAAAAGCTAAATCGCGCTCGCGCTGCTGCATAACAACGGAAAAGCACGCGCGCCGCGTATTCTCATATAAAAAGGCACGCGTGTCACAGACAGTTCTGCATTCGCGTCAAGTATGGCGCGCGTTTGGCGCCGTGCCGGACACGCCCCCAAAATATGGCACGCGCTTTGCCGGCTTGAGCATAAAGGCGCGCGCGCTGCACGCACCGACTCAGACACTCGCTGTTGACTCGCGCCGGAGATCCGCCCCTTTTTGAGGGATTCGCGGGAAAGGGCGTAGACATGCGCGAGACAATATTTTGACAGTTTTTGCGGATGTCGCGAAAGGAAATCGGAAGATGATGAGTGAATCAGCGAGCAGTTTCCCAATATCGACGCGCATTCCAAATCTCAGCTCATATTGCATCATTCCAGATTTTTTTGCTACATATTTTCAATTCGTGCATTCCATCCATCCCACCTAAGCCCTCTTCTTTCCATTACTTCATTCTAATCCAAAATTAACTTTATTTGAAATCCAATTTTAAAGCTTCTTCTCTAGAAATCGAAGCTCGACTATCTCCGTGATTGTGGGATTGTGGAATTTGAGTTCAAATTACATTGGTTTAGAAACCAGCTGAGGCATTCAAGGTATTTCAAGGCATGATGATGGGAATGGAGACGTAGATGGGAGATGTACGGGCTTATGTACTGAATCCGATAAGAGCTAAACTCCTTCTTCCAAAGGTAAGATGTCAGTGCACTTATTCCCAGTCTTCGTCGACATGGTTTTTTCTGTTCAGAAGAAGCGTGTGATCGAGACTACGGCAAGCAGCCCTTCTGCTGTCAAGGAAATAGAGAAGACCAGCCCCGACGAGTTTCAGCCAATCTGCTACTACTTTTTTCTAATTTGCTCTACTTACATATCACTATCATATCATTTGCCTTAACTCTACTCTACTCTCTCTTTGCGTATCACTTAATTGCATTCCGAGATTCTCATTGTTTAGAAGAGTTCCAATTACACTTCTATCTCATCATGTATCTCCATATCGTGAAGCTTTAAGATAGTAAACATAGTAGTTTGACTCCCACGAAATTCTTATTTGATTTTCTTGCGTGGCTACATTGAACATAACCCTAACTCTACCTCATAACTCTAACATAACTACTTCAATCTTAGGAACATTGAAATGTTCCTAAAATTGAAGTAAATTCACTATGTGCTAATGAAGTTTCCAATTAATCCTTATGTCGTTTTAGAAGTAATAAATTGGTTAGTTTAGACTTTGTAGAATTCTTATATATACGTGTACATATATACATATATATATACACTTATATATACTTATATGTATACATATATGTACATTTATATATATGTATGTATGTGATGTACAGTTGCAGCGGTGGAATTTGTCCAAAACTGCGGGATTGTCGGGATTCGCGGGATTCGCGGGATTCGCGACTTCGCAATATTTGCGGGATTCGCGGGATTTGCGGGATAAGCGGGATTTAGCCATAACTTCATTTAAAATAGCTTTATTTGTAATCTGAGTGAAGATTTGGCTTCAGCTTGATGAGACGAATCTTTTGATATACGGTATGTCCGTAGTTCATAGTGACGGGGTAGACATACAATGATACCTTGTTGTTTTCAACGTTAAGGCTTTTGTGAACATTTATCACAGTGTAAATCGCGTATAGGAGGTTATGGTACGAAGCTCTCGTTATCGAAAACTATCGCGAAAAATTGGGCAGTTTTTATCTACCCTTATCGCTGATATAAGCATTTTATCATTTATCACTGATAATAACACATTTTTGGATCATTTTTTGCATATGGTAAGGAAAGTACTGTAGGAAAAGCTGTGCGAATTTCTATCGCTCTTTCTCTCATTATAAGTGATCTACAGGCTTTTCTAGTTCTATTGCTCGGTGCAATTGGTAGATCCCTCGCTGCAGCAATCGATCGATTTTTCATCGGCACATGCCATTGCTGCCAATTCTTACCTAGAATGGCATTTTTGCTTCAACTCGCTTCACGCCGAAGCCTGGGCTGAAATTCTGTACCTATATGGAAGATGAACGTGGAAATCGACCGCATGAATTCAAGCCATTCTTATCTGTCGTTGTCACTGATATCATCATTTTATCATTTATCACTGACGACACAAAACTGGATCATTTTTGATATACAATAAGAAATGTACTTTAGAAAACGTTGTGTGAGTTTTTATCGCTCTATCTCTTGTAGTACAAAACCACTCACAGAACATGCAAAATTTCCGGGAATTCCGCGAAATTCATGTGAATCACGCAAATCACGCAGGGCCATAACTTTTTTCCGAATGAGTATATTCAAAATCCGAAAACAACGTTGTATTCAGCTCGTCAAGGCAAATCTTTTGATATACGATTGTCTCCAATATCTTGTTTTCAATAATCTTGAATTTGCATGCCGACGCCTCTTCGCATGGGTGTAACGCAACAAGCATCACACATAGGAAACTGCCATGGGCACCATTCGATAGTACTCTTTCACTAGATTATCGAGCGCTAAACAACAGCCGAAGACTCCCTTTCAAAAGAGATAGAAGAGCTGATAAACTCTGGAAAAATTAAGCTGTTCCAAGTTTTACTAGCCGTAACTTTCTTTAGAATGAACATTTTCGAAATCAGAAAGCAGATTTGTGTTCATCTTGTCAAGTCGAATCTTACTGTATACAACATGTTCTTGAAGTTCCGTTTTCGATTTTTCAAAATTTTCTGCGCGCGTATATTCACAAGGTCGCAACGCAGTGCACATCAAACATAAAAGACTCTATTGTGCACTGTTGGATTGTGCTGCTTCCGCAGATTATCGAGCGCTAAGAAGCAACCGGAGAATCTTTTTGAGAAAAGATAGAAGAGCTGGTGAATTCTGGAAAATCGCGTTGTCTCAAATTTTGCCCACAGTGACCCTAAAATGAGAAGCTCTACTGCTAAGCAGATGTGAAGTACTCTGCGTTGATACCACTGCTT